CAGCCTCGCTCACAGCAACCTCACACTCCTGGGCTCAAACAATCCTCCTGCCTCAGCCTCCCGAGTAGCTGGGACTACAGGTGTACCCCACCATGCCCGTCTAATTTTTTCTATTTTTAGTAGAGATGGGGTCTTGCTCTTGCTCAAACTGTTCTCAAACCCCCTACCTCAAGCGATCCTCCCACCTCGGCCTCCCAGAGTGCTAGGATTACAGGCATGAGCCACCACACTGGGATCATCTGGGGAATGTGTTAAAGGAGGAGCGCAGTTTCCATTTGCATTCTCTAGGATCAGACATGGGAGGAAAGAAGCGAAATATTCTGCCAGGAAAAGGAAAGAGCTTCCCTACTACAGGATGTGGTAGGATTTAAAAAAATTACTTACCAGATCAGTATCTAATATTTTTTAATACTTAAATTATTTTATATATTAATATCTTAGAATAATACATGTTTTCCCATCAGCCTTATCTTGTCTTTGCATAAATTCAACTTAGTGTACAAGGGTGGCAAATGATGAGGAGGTTAAGAGTGTGGGTTCTGAACTCAACTCTTCTACTTATAAGCTCTGTAAACTTATACAACTTACTTAACTTCTCTGTGCCTCAGTTTCCTCATCTGTATAATGGAGATGATAACAATAGGACCCACCATAGGGCTGTTGTGAGAATTGAATGAGTTGGTTGTATAAAGCACTTAGAACCATGCTGGCTGCATGGTAAGGATTCAATGAGTCTTAACTATCTTTATTATGTGCGAGCCAGTTTGTGTCTCATCAACTGAATAGTATAACATATAAAGGTTTGCACAGTATTTATTGTTAAATTTTAAGTCTTGTGCGAGTTGAGTTTTATGTATGTACTCTATCTACTATTAAAACAGAGACTCTTTGCCTGTTATGAATGGATACCACTTTTGACATTATTTTTAGCTGCACCTAAAGAACTCTCAGGTCCTACTGAAACCAGAACCAATCTGAGAGAGGAAGCCGTCCATGTGACAAAATTCTTTTAACTCTTCGTTGCAGAAAGGTCAGACCTCACTGCAATAAGAGCCATCTATTTCTTTTGATCAAAACCAAATCATTAAAATTCCATAATTAACAAAAATTATAACTAATACAGATAAACAAATTACTACAAAGCCAGAGCAGTTGCTAAAGATCCGTGTCTGGAAATAACATTTCTATGAGCAGGAAGACAAGATGCTCTGTGCCTAATACCAAGAAGGATGACTAACATGGCTTAATTTGCTCTGGTAAAAAAAAAAAAAAAAAGTTTCAGAAACCAACAGACCCTATCATAACAAAGAATATTTTGTGTCCCGGAGAGATTTAGAGATGCACAGATATCAAGACGTGACCTAATTTTCTCATGATAGGGCTGCCTCTGGATAATACTTTGATTTATTGACAAGGGGATGATCCAAAACTGATCATCTTTTCTGCCTATGCAGTCAGAAAGATAATGTTGATCTAAGTGAAGAATCTTCAGGACTACAAGCTGTAGTATTCTGTTCCCAAAAATATTGTACAAAACAATAATATCCATTTTTTAATGAATTTCTGTTAAAGGGGTTTACTACTCTGAAAGCTTGTCAATGTATTTAGAATGAGCTCAACTAAGCATTTATATATTTTTTTAATCCAAAAAGTTGTTGCTGTGATCCTCACTTGCTTTTAAAGGACATTAAGTTTCTGGTCTTCTCACTGAGTTTTTAGTTTTCTTGTAAAGTTAAAATTGAACCACTAAGAAAAGAACATTTCTCAAGATTATTAAAGCAAAAGTCATAACAGTGTTGGGAATTTTTAACAGTGTTGGGCATTTTTTTTTTTCTTTCTCCAGTTTGTTTGATTGTTTTAGTGATTGGTCTTTCTCAGTTTCTTTCATTTTTAGATTATTTGTTGTTGTTATATTAGCTCTCTACAGCTATGTAACAAATTGACTTCAAATTTAGCAGCTTAAAACACAGACTGCTGAGGGTCAGGAGTCCAGTAATGGCTTAGCCACGCTGTTCTGGCTCAGGGCCTTTCACAAGGGTGCAGCCAGTAGGTTGGCTGGGGCTGCTGTCATCCGCAGGCTCAACTGGGGTCAGAGGCACCGCTTCTAAGATCACTGAAGTGCCTCTTGGCAGAAGACTTCTCTCAGTTCTTTACCAGTTTTTGGAAGCCTCCATTCCTTGCCACATGGGCCTCTCCTTAGTGGGCTGCTTATAACAGAACAACTGCTTTTGCCCAGAGCAAATGATCCAAGAGAAAAAAAAAAAACGAGATAGAAGGCACAGTGCCTTGTATAACCTAATATCAGAAGTGTTAATACCATGGCTTCTGTCCATTGGTCTCACACACCAACCTGGTACACTGTGGAAGAGGACTATACAGGCTGTGAATGCCGGGAGGAAGGGATAATTGCTGGAGGCTGTCTTGGAGGCTAGCGGTCACAACTGTGGTGATAGATTGTTTCCCCGTCCTTTTGACTTTGCGGGGGGGTTTTTTCCTTTTTTCCCGGCTTTTTTATTGAATTAATTTTTTTTTTCAAAAAAAAAACAAAAAGAATGGCATAATAAAATTGCTTAATGTTTTAATGTTATTGCTGTCACATTATTCATTCTCTTTATCTAACCTATTATCATCGAAGTTAGGTAACATTTTGATAATCGGCATAACATTTGTGAAGAACCATTTAATCAATTCCAAAGCATTACATTCCAGAATATAGTTCATTTCAGAGGAGCAAAATTGCTTTGTTTCCTGTGACAGCAACCAAAAAAAAAAAACAAAAAATAAAATGAGCAATTCATTTCTTTTATTCCAAGTTCTCTCTTAAAACTTTTTTGGATATGTCTTAGTCATCTTGAGAATTCTGTCACTCTTTTACTTATATTAAAAGACAAATAGAAACAAATGTCTTGGAAGATAAAGATTTGTATAGATTGAACATTGAGAAAATATACCTGGACTATATATACTATCTAAGATAACTTGTGTTGCTATCTCCAAACTTACGTTGCCAAAAACTGGAATATTCTATTTCCTTATCAATTAGTTCTATAAAGCCATGTTTTGACAATGTCTTCCATCAGTGATACTATAACACACAGTCTATTTAAATTTTATTTCTCACAAGTTGCTAACCATTCTTCACATGGTAGGGCCATCTGGAAATATAGAACCACAGCATTTTAGATCTGGAAAGATCTTTGGAATTTTTATGTTAAAAGTGTTCTCCATTTTTTGAAGGGTTGGGAAATATTACCCTCAGTGGTGCTGCCTGCCATGTTCTGGTTTGTCTTCAAAAATCTGTTTAAAATTTAGAACCTGCTAATACCACAGAGCAGTGTAAAGGCATTGATAATTATTCACTGTACATAATCTCGAGAAAATGCCAACACTGGTTGATACACAATGGTTCCAAAGGAGTTAGAAGAATAGAACCAAAGACAGATGTTGGGCAGGCTATATCCTTTTGGGATTCTCCCTATTGCTACAGTACATATACCCACACACATACTGTGTGGCAGGGATCAGGTGATAGTATGTCTCTTTGAGTATTTAACTTTCCTCTTAAAAGTAAAACTGGGATATTTAAAAAAAAAAAAAAAAGATCAAAAGTAGGAGTCATTACAAATATAGCCCATGCACATGCACGCAAACACACCCTCCACCACCTTTGTATGTTAAAGAGCTTATTTTGCTTAGTCTCAGGGTCATAATACAAAGTTTAATTCTAAAGTAAATAATTTTTTTCTTTTCATTTGGCTTGTGAAAATACCATACATTGTATAGAGTTAATCTTAGCCAAGGATTATTGCAAGCATAATTCCTTCCTCTGATATTAGTTTCAGCTAATTTATACAAGCATTATGGGATTTAGGCCAAGATTGGACCAGCCTTCAATGACTGAGCTAAATTTTATTTCCTAAGTTAGATTTGCAATATTAAAATTTAATATTTTCCAAGTTCATTAACTAGAATATGCATATTTGTGATAGAATAAGTTCTTCCTAAAATCTGATTATTACTCAGTACTTTGTGATCTTTCCAATATTTTAAATTAGCACTTTTATCCTCACATGTTACCACCGAATTATTTTCATTTATTTTAATTCGAGGATCATCTTTGTTTTCTTTTATAAGAAAGTTTCCTCCATTTTCCTTTTCTAATTTTTTGGTTTCTCAATTCTTTTACAGTCTTCCTCTAAAGAGAATTTCTACAAATTAATCCTCTAGGATACAGTTTTTTTCAGAGCACAGTGATGTGAACAGATCAATGTTTAATTAAACAGATTGTCTTCTTTCACTTGTTCCTTTTCTAAATTTTGTTTTTTTGTATACTTCAGTAAAGCCAACCCCAATTCTAACCTCCCAAACTCTGGCCTTTCAGGGGCATCATTTCTAAATTTCATATTAGGTAAATTTCTATACCTAATAAAGAGATAATTTCACTTCTCTACTGGTGCATAAGAAACTAGCCCAAAACATAATGGTTTAAAACGTTTTATTATTTCTCACCATTCTTGGAGTTAACTGGGGCTCTGCTGGATGACTCTTCTGCTGGTCTCACTCAGGCTCTCTCATGTAGCTTCAGTTTATGGCAGATGGGGCTAGAATGATCACAATGACTTCACCGTGGCCCCTTAATCAGAAGGTTGGGCCCAGCTGGGACACTGGGACAACTGAGCCTCTCCTTCACATGACCTCTTGACATGGTCTCCCCAGCAGGTTATAGCTGTTGTTTCATATGACCACTTAGGGCTTTCAAAAAGGCAAAAGTGGAAGTGCCTAGGCCACCATAGAACGTAGTGCCAAAGTCACTTCTGCCTCATTCTCTTGGTTGAAGAAAGTCACAGGGTCAGTTCAAGTTCAGTGTGGGAGGAAGTCCACAGGGCATGCATATTGGAAGGCATGGTTCACGGGGTGGGCCATCTCTGGAGTCTAGCTACTACAGCGATCATGTTTTCCTTCTCCACTAAGACCTCAATTCCTCTCTACTCCTTTTTCAGTTCCCTGTGTCTCTGGTGGTTTGCCTAAACCTACAAATGTCACCTTCTTATCTATAAACATGAAGAATATCCTACAATGGAATCCACCAGAGGGTCTACAAGGAATTGAAGTTACTTATACTGTGCAATATTTCATGTAAGTTGGTTCTTTTCCTTTTGGCTAATTTATAAACACAAGACTCAGACTCCTGTTAATTGTGCAAAGATAAACCATCTATCGTATTAAATAAGTGTTTGAAAAAGAGAAATGTTTTAGATATCCCATGTTAAGTTTTCTTGATAGGTTTTGTTAGATTAAATTAGAAAACAGTTTCTTCATGGAGACAGAAGCACTGGGTGCTCAGGCAAAGGGAAGTTATGGAACTGGAGAAAAGAAGTTGGCCAAAACATTATTATGTGGCTGAACAAACAAGGCAATCCATCATCTCTGAAACTGCTAAGCTTTTTGGAATCATAAACATTCTGAGACTTAGTGAAACTGAGTGTAGAATTCTGTGCAACCAGCCATTCCTATTAAAGATAGCCGTGAACAGACATTTTTACTTCTCCCTCAAAACTCATTGCAAGGAAGAAAAAATGCAAAACAGTTAGACAACATCCATCTTCAGATAAACAAAGGAAATGCCATAACCCCAAACCATAAACTCTGAAGCATATAAGCCAAATCTTGTAGAATCTGAAGGAAAACAACTGCAGAAGCTGGAAGCAAACCTATACCTTCTCGAGCTCCAACTGCAGGAAATAATTTCACAAGAATAAGTATCACAGTACTAAGAGGCCCACCTATCAATCTAAGAATGTAGCAATCTAAGGAATTGTCACCACGAGAAATTGAGGAAATGTCCCCATGGAGAAGAATTCAGACAAGTAATTGTCCATAGTTTTATTAGGGTCCATAAACAACATAATCTCTAAAGGTAAAACTCATAGAAGAGAAAACAATGAAATAAGAGATTCTAAGACAACAGGGAGAATTTTTTTATTTGAAGCAAGTGGGTAGAGCTTAGAAAAAAGTCGGAAAATAAAAATATTCTATTAAGATGAAAACCTATTATAGTAAGTGATAATAATGGTTGAACAGGTAATAAAGACTATTACATATTATAAATTCATGATATGTCTAGAAAGATCTAATCAAAATAATAGCAAGGAATATCCTGGTGAAATTACTAAACTTTAAGAAAATTAAATGATTTATAGCCATTATAGCAAAAACAGAACTCAAGTTGGAAGAAAGAGGAAATTTCTGCCTGGCAACACTCAACAGAATACATCAAGCAGGTGGGAACTTAAGGTATCACTTCCCTGAGACCCTTAGAGAGGAGTTACCACTAACTAAAGATGATATCCAGCTAACATAAAGATGAATTCAAAAACATTCAGTAAGGACACAGTTATGGCAAAAAAAATAATAATAATAATCCAGTGACATGCTTTGAATTCATCTAAATGTAGAGCTAAGACAATAGTGATGAGAAAGATAGTTATAGAAACATTTTTTGTAAATGTTTGAATTTAAACAATAATATAACAAATCAGAAGTGGGGAAGAACTATAAGTGTACTGATTTTCATAGCAGGAAGCCATTAAATGTGACCTAAAATAAAAATACAAATACTTTGTTATTTTAATAATAAGCCTCTCGATATTTTTCACAAACTGTTTTCTTAATTTAAAACCTCTTTTAGGAACTAATACCTTTTGTAGTAATGAAACATTTGAACTTCAGCAATTCCTTTAATTTCACGTAAAGTTCTCTTTTTCTATTAAAGTTCAAATCAAGTTATATTTGCTGCTTTTGTTGAAACTATATGTACAATATAATTTAATTTTTGTCTATGCTGCTATCTAATCATTCTTCTGTTTTATAAATAAGCATGACAAGATGTCCAGAATCATATACCAAATGTTTCAGGGTAATGGGATTTAGGGTGATTTATTTCTCTTTTGATTATACTTTTCCACATTGTTCAATTGTTTGGATTAAAAAACATTTACTATATTTACAAAAAAGAATCAAGTCATGTTTGTCTTTGGAAAAAAAAAATTCTCCCACTAAAGCCAGTGAGAGACTTCAGCAACTATTCACAGCAATTTCGTTTATCTAGAACCTCACTCTCCTTTCTAGGGGTTTGTCAAGAGCTGGTGCTACAGGAAAGATGTCGCTCTGCAGAAATGGCTCGTGAGCGTGCCCTTGCCTGCTTTTCCATTAGGTGGAGCAAAGAGCTTGCTCTGTCCTTTATATTTGTCTGTGATTCAAAAAGGAATTTACAGAAATAGGCAGAGTCTTCACTGCTCTGTGAGAGCAGATAACTTATACTGTGCACATTTCAAAACTGTGTACTTAAAAAGAAGCTTGCTATGTATGTCAGAGTTCTTACACGCCTGTGCATGTGGAATGTGGACAGGAACAGAGCGTGACGTGTTCCACTGCCAGAGGGCTCCAAGCTCAGCTCTGGCATCAGACAGTCAGTCCCCAGGTCATAGCCAGGCTGAGCAGGTAACAACATCTTATGCTTTTACACTTTTGTGTGAAGTTTGTTTCCAAGATGAAAATTTAACAAAAGTTTAAATTATATCCACCAAAAGAATTGAATGCAGGAAATAGAATGTAGCACTAAAATCACAAGCTTTGTCATCAGGGAAAAGTTATTCACATCCCAGATATATACCTTTTATTAGTCATGTGGACTTGAGTGGACTTTTATTAGTCATGTGGACTTTATTAGTCATGTGGACTTAATTCCTCAGTTTCCTCATCTGTAAAATGGGATGAAAATAATGCCACCTACCTCCTAGGGTAGTTATGATAATGAAGAGGGCTCCCACATGACTTTTTTTGCCATGCATGAGCATCGTTACTGAAATATTTGTTGAATGATCCTGGTCATCATTTATTTTGTTCAGAGTTCGGTAAAGAGCACTTTCTCCTTCATCAGCATCTGCCATGGGAAGCTGCCCTGCCCTTGGCAGAGTGAGGAAGTTCGAGGAGGGAGGGTCACACAGGCAATGGCAATATTTTCAAACCACAAGTCAAGACCTGTTGATAGGTTATGAAATCAATTTTGAGAGACATAGCTAGCATTATTTTTAATGGAAAGGAATGGAGTGGTGTAAAGTGGAATGGAAAATAACTGAATACATGGTATGTAGTAAAGTTTAAATAGTATCTTGTAAGACTTTTGTTTTAGTATGTTAGATATATATCTTTTATGAACTGAATCACAATGTAAAGTATGTTTTTTCCTGCATGGATCATGGTCAAAAAATATTTTGAAAACCCCCAAGCAGTTTCAAAAAATTTGAAAACCACTCACATGGAGCAGTTGGTCAACAAGATCCGACTGTATTTCTAATGTCTTTTAGTAGGTATGGTACCTATGAAACAGGAGACATTTACTTTCAGAAATGTGTTGCTATATTCTGAAGCTTTGGCAATGCTTGTAAAAGTTGACATATCCTCCTCCTCAAGAGGAGTCATACTCTTCCCGTGACTTTTGTGATACATGTTTTTCCTCTTCTCTCTTTAGCTGCTACTTCCAGGTCTACTTTGTATCCAACCTTTAAATCTTGGTGCCCCTGAATTTTTATCCTAGACATTGCTGGGTCTCCATGGAGGATTCATTCATGCGTGTCCCTTCAATGAGCAGTTTTATGTCGTTGTCCTGAGCCCCACTGCCTGCTGGGCATGTGGACTTGGGTATCTCATGCATACCTCAGCACATTCCCAGATCTGCTCCTCCTCAGTGTTCCTTGTCTTGGAAAGTGTTACTACTGTTCTACTCATCTACCCCAGACAGAAAAAGACATCATCCTTAACACTTTCATTTCTCTACTCTTCTGCATGCACTCAGTCACCAAGTCCTATCTCCTAATTGTTCTTGTTTTTTATTTTTTTTTATTTTTTAAAAATTATTTATTTATTGATTGAGACAGTCTCGCTCTGTCGCCTGGGCTAGAGTGCCATGACGTCAGCCTAGTTCACACCAACCTCAAAGTCCAGGGCTCAAGCAATCCTCCTGCCTCTGCCTCCTGAGTTTAGCTAGGAGTACAGGCATGTGGTACCATGACCAGCTAATTCTTTCTGTTTTTAGTAGAGACAAGATCTCACTCTTGCTCAAGGCTCAAGCTGGTCTTGAACTCCTGAGCTCAAGCAATCCTCCCACCTCAGCCTCCCAGAATGCTAGGATTACAGGTATGAGCCATGGTACCCAGCCCCTATCTCCTAATAGTTCTTGCTTTTGTCTTGTCCTCATGGATTCTACTGTTACGATCCTTGTCCAACCAAACCACTTACACCTTCCCTTGGACCACTGCAGTATCCTCTCAACTGCTCATCCCACGCTGCCTCTTCTAACCCTGTCACCTTCTCCACACCCCCTCCAGAGTTAGCTTCCTGAGACATGCCTCTCATCTTGTCCCCCAACACCCTACCTTAATCCCTTCAGTAGCCTCCCACACAGCTCTGTCTCTTTCACTGTCTCATCTTGTGTCACCCAAACTCTACACCTGAGTCTCTCCCACCTGAAAAGGGCTAAAAATATTTCCTTCCTCCTGTTCTCTCTGGGTGTTGTGTTTTTAATAAAGAAAAAGAAAATCAATGTGAAAAACCTAATCGATATCATCATTACCATCATCATCTTCATCATCATCCTCATTGTAACTATTGAAAATGTAGGTTTTTGTAGGCACTCCAACCTCATGACTATTCCCCAGAATTTTTGATGCCTAGCAAATTTTTAAATTTTAAGAAAGTGTCAAGATAATTTTTCTTCCAAGAAAAAAAATGACTAATGATTCCTAAAACAACACATCAAACAGACCTCATATACAGGGTGGACTATAAACTTACATAGATGATTACTGGAAGAATGGATCACACAATATGTAAAAATTGTACTGTAGCCAAAGAATTAAAATAAAATGCATGCTTTTAGAATGTACTATCCACATTATAATTCACAGAAAAGAAAGGTGATTACAGAAACTCTGACTCATGTTCCTGACAGCTAATGAAAAAAAATTGCCAGCAGCAAAAATGGATTCTTTTTTATCTCAATGACAGGCACTTTTGTTTTTCTGAAGAGAAGGTCTTCAGTTCCATTCAGTTTTGTATAATGACTGGGAGGTTTTTTTTAATTGTAAAGTAGAGAGGGCATCTCATTATTAATTCCAAGTTTCCTTCCTAACAGATATGGGCAAAAGAAATGGCTGAATAAATCTGAATGCAGCAATATCAGTAGGACCTACTGTGATCTTTCTGCTGAAACTTCCGACTATGAGCACCAATATTATGCCAAAGTTAAGGCCATTTGGGAAGCAAATTGCTCCAAATGGGCTGAAACTGGACGATTCTATCCTTTTTTAGAAAGTAAGTAATGCATCTGTCACAATTGTTAAACATGTTTTAATATCAAGTTAACCTCACCTCCTGATTTAACAGTCTCAGGCTCGTAGACAACCTTGTCCCAGAAGAAAGTCTTTGCTTGCTCTATTCTGCACCAGCAGGTTGAGTGACCAGGCCAAGATGCTTCACCTTGCTGGTTCTCACAGTCTCATCTTTAGACCAAAAGGTTTGGGCAAATGATCTCTAAGATCTTTCCCAGATCCCAAATTGATGCTAGATGCCAATAATTTCACATTTTGATTTTGTTTTACTATTTGTTGGAGTCTCTGTAATTTGAGGAACAGCCAAAAGATTTTCTTTTAAATGTTGTGGGCTTTAAACCATTGACATGTGTCTATAAGATTGATTAAAGATTGTCCTGATCACCCAACTAAGACTCTTCTTGCTATAAACTTCGTAGCGCAATGAGGTGATTTCTAGGTATAACCAGAATTAAGGCAATATCTTCCTGGTATATGCTTTTATAATTTTGCCATCCTCTGATCTGTGGCTAACTCAGCCATGAGGGACCCACTCAGGGCCACCATAATGAACTCTACAAATGCTCCATAGGCCCTGGAGCTCTTCCAGATCAAGGTCAGAGAACTACAGCCCTTGGGCCAAATCCAGCCCCTCCCCACCCCCATTTCTGTTTTCCTACAGGCCAAGAGCTAAGAATGGTATTTATATTTTAAATACTTTTGTTTAAAAAATCAGAATAAGAATATTTTGTGACATGTGAAAAGTACAGGAAATTCAAATTTTGGTGCCTATTCATAAAGTTTTATTGGAACACAAACCACACTCGTTCGTTTTATATAGTTATCTATGACTACATTTGTGCTACAACCAGAGTAGAGTACTTGCAACAGAGATCATTTGACCTGCAAAGCCTAAAGTATTTACTGTCTGGACCTCTATAATAAAAGTTCGCTGACATCAGTTCTGGATCATTCTAATCTCATCTCTGATTTTTCCACTTAACATATCATGTTAATGTTATTTATCACCAACTTTTCAAGTCACAAACAGTTTTGATTGTATTTACCATCATCAGGTCCTGTTTATCCATGTGACTAAGTAAATGCAACACTCTTGTTGGCTGTTTTAACATTGCATTAGGGTGTATGAAATGATTAGGTCAAGATTTGGCATAATCCAGGCCCACCAAGGTACATTTCGAGGCAGCTTGTGTGAGAGGGTAGGTTTTAGGGCTTTGAACCAAGTAGTATTCTATTATAGCTTCATCTAAGGTGATTTTTACATGTGAATGTAATAATACCCTCTCTCCTCCCGTTCAAGCACAAATCGGGCCACCAGAGGTTGCTCTGACTACCGAGGAGAAGTCCATTTCTATCGTCCTGACGGCCCCAGAGAAGTGGAAGAGAAATCCAGAAGACAGTTCTGTTTCCATGCAACAAATCTACTCCAATCTGAAGTATAACGTGTCCATATGTAATACTAAATCAAATAGAATGGTAAGCACGAAATGGAATGGAATGTATAATATACGTACTACTTTTCATAGCTAATGCTAAAACAAACAGCCTTGATGCTTTGAGTCTCTGCCTGTGAATCAGGGAAGATGTGATGTTCAAAAGAGATGCCATACAGATACCCTTGAAGCTGAAATGTAGAAAATTTACAGAACTGACTTCAGATTTTCCTTATAGAAACTCTCTTAAATACTGTGACGTTGCTGCTGGACTGTAGAGCGATTGTGCGCTTCACTTTGACGGAGAGCTTTTACTTGCATAACGTCTGTCCATCGTCGCTCTCCTAGAAGAAAAAAATGTTAGCAAAAACACAGGACAAAGTTGAATAAAAAAAAATCCATCCCTGTGTTTTTTTGAGAATTGGGGATCGGTGCAGTTCCTGGCTGTGCCCTGCTGAGCTAAAGAAGAAGGGTGTATTGAAACGGTTGCTGGGGTGAGGGGGGAAAGGCTTATAGTGACAGTAAAGGATTAAATGGCATCTCAGTCTTTTATTTTTTTCTAGAGTTATTTGTCTGGGGTGGTCCCAGAAATCTTTGGCTGTAACCACTGTTTGCAATTCCCCGTCCTAGTGGTCCCAGTGTGTGACCAACCACACGCTGGTGCTCACCTGGCTGGAGCCGAACACTCTGTACTGCGTCCACGTGGCGTCCTTCGTCCCCGGGCCCCCTCGCCCAGCTCGGCCTTCTGAGAAGCAGTGTGTCAGGACTTTGAAAGGTAAGCTTAAAAACTCAGCCCATCTGAGGAAGGAAATCTACTAAAACTAGAAAGAAGTGTGACAGTTTAGACTTAAGGTTTTGCCAAATACATGTCTAATAGGAACAGGTTGAGGCACAGGCAGAAACAACCCTCACCGGACTCTGCCACGGAGCCTGGCGGGTGATCGGACTGTTCTCACCCCCTGGAGCACGGTCAGTACGGGTCCCGGAGTCCACGGCCAACAATCCTCCCTCCCAGAGTCGTTTGGCCACCTTGTGAAATAACAAGAAATTTTACACATCTTTTTTCTTTTTTAAAGTCATAATCATTCGGATCAATAGAAGTTCTGTGGTCTTCAAGAACATCAGACAGTTTTACTGCTGGAAGCAAAGCATTATCCTAAAAACACCGTGAAACAGAAATTTTTTTGCCACCCCCCACCCTTGGGAATCCTAATTCCAGGCTCTTCCAGCTGCGTTCAGATGCCACTGGCTGCGTGAGAGCCTGGCATCGGCGAATCTGTGGTCACTCCTTTCCACTCACAGTTGCTTCTCAGTTGCTTCTCTCTCCTTCCTTCCTTCGTCTCCTCCTCACGCTTTCTGAACTGAGCAGCCGGAAACCATGGTTGAAGATACTCGTTGCCATTAGGAGACGTAGAGGTGTGAGCTTGGCATTTGTTTAATCTGTCTTCTCCCAGGCAGAGAGGAGCTTGAACTCAAAACCTGAACGTCGAGAGAAAATAAATCCTAACGTTCGCCTGCATCCAAGGGGTCTTTACCCATTATTCTTTGCTTCTCGTCCAAACATGCTGGACTAGAGACAGATTCTCACCACCCTTCACCCCACGCCTGGGTCCTATCACCAGCCACGAATAGGAATGCACAACCCCGCTTCCCTCTTCCCTCACCTCCCCCACCCCCACCTTTCCAGATGCAGCTACCCCAAGGACAAGACAGGGCACATTGTAAGTACATGTGAAAAGTGCAGGGCTTTGTTTTCGAATCTGTCTTTATCATACCTTTTCTTTTAGACTGAAGGGTTTCTCTGCCATATGTCAAATGAAACTCAAATGCCAAGCAAAACAAAGCAGATGGAAGAAATCATTTTTGTATTTTGGAAAGGTGCTCTATTTACTAACAACTTGATCAGTGCCAACTGGTAGGAATGAATTTCCAGTGGAAATCATTGAGGCAGTTAGTTGGCAGAGCAAAAGCAACGAAAGCACCGATTAAATTAAATACTTCCCAGTAAGCAGACAGAGCCCACTTCTCACTAGTATAGGCAAAGCAACAAAATAACGAGGTGCCATTTCTGGTTCTGAACTTTCCCCTGATATCCCAGCTGTTGGATCACCAAACATACCTCTCCAGCACACTGGCATGAGGGCCACTTTCTGAAAAATCAGTTTTACCTCTCTTGAGACTATTCTTGGAAAACATTTCCAAGAATATTCTCCATAGTCCTCCAATCCCTAAAACCCAGATACAGTTTACCAGGTTTATTATTGCGACTCTTTAATTAGAACAAGCTCAATTCAGGGACCAGGGACTGCACTAAAGGGGCTGGAGTGCGTTGCAGCCTAAAGTGGAGGCAGGTGGTGCTCAGGCAGCTGCAGTGTCCACTTTGCAGCGTTGGCACATCCCTGCACGGAACCTGACGACAAATGTGCTCTTCCGGAATTGTTCAGGGTCACCGAGCCGGCGGCTGGCCCCCACGCTGGACTTTTCCTACTAGCTCTTGTTGCCTGCCCTCATCGTCCATGACACATCTGCTTTCAGTCTTTAACTGGATAGTTAGCTCGACAGGGACTTAGCTGCCTTCCCTCAGGCCAGGCATCAAGAGCATCCAACATCCACATGAAGTAGAATGCTTCTGTTGCTCTCTTGCTGGTTTTATTGATGTGTAAGGAATACACTAGGACTTTTGTCATTTGTGCTGAAGCTGTTCCTTTTTCTACTTCTGCATTAGTATTCTCTAGAGAAACAGAACCTATGTATATCTATGGATATATAGAAATAGATAGATATAGATCTCCTATTGGTTCTATATATTATTTGGGAGAGAGAGAGATTTGTTCATTTTAAGTTGGCTCACAGGATTGTGGAGGCCGGCAAGTCCAAAATTTGTGCAGGCCAGAGACCCAGGGAAGAACTGATGTTGCAGTTTTGTCCAAAGGCAGTCTGCTGGCAGAACTCCCTGTCCCTCAGGGTCATCAGTCTTATTATTAGTAGTATTAAAGTCTTCAATTGCTCAGCTGAAGCCCACACATGTTATAGATGATAATCTGCTTGACTCAAAATCTACTGATTTAAATGTTAATCTCATCTAAAAAAATACCTTCGCAGAAACATCTTGAGTAATATTTGGCCAAATATCTGGATACTGTGGCCTAGCCAAGTTGACACATAAGATTAAGCATCACAACTTCCAAGCACACCATAGTGGCTTAACAAACATAAGTTAGTGACAATGAGCTCTAGTCATCAGCTATATAGTCAGATCAATGGTGGGCCAGGCCTGCGTCTCTTAAAACCTTTTCCCCAAGTCTTTCCATTTCTCTGTGGACTTTTGCCCAGCATGAATCTATAGCACAGCACCAGGGAGAGAGTTAACTGCTATTCTCAGCATACCCAGTCCAGCTACCTCCCCACACCCCACTCCCAAGCTCCAGCCCTACATAGAAAATCTGGCCAACCAGTGCAAGAATGATTTGTTATTCATATAAAAGGTGATGCCACGCATTCATGTCCCCCATGGAATGTATGGGGAAGATTGAGTGAAATGAATGGTGTGGAAAAGTGGGATCTGCACAAGAGGGTTTTGTTGTTTGGTTAGAAGTGCCATGAGTTCCCCGAATATCAGACACCCTTCAAATAGCCGAACCCCCATGGATCTCAGAGCCAGACATAAAATGCTGGCACACCTGCTGACTTGGATCGTTGATGTATCCTTACTATAAGGGTTTAAGGTACATCCAGATGATTCCCTAAGACCATCTAAAGGCTGGTCCAAAGATAGTGAGGTGAGTTATCTCACTTGAAAAAAAAAAAAGAGACCATGTACTGTCAGAGAGAGTAAGAATTGGGAGACCCCTTATAACATTTAGCTTAAGCTTCTCAACATACAGGTGAGAAAACTTGAGTTCCTAAATCTAAGTGATCTGCCCAAAGCCAGTTTTCTCCCACCACACCAAATCACAATTCTCCAAACCACCTCCCCCCTTTTTTTTTACAGATCAATCTTCAGAGTTCAAGGTTAAAATCATCTTCTGGTATGTTTTGCCAATATCTGTCACCGTTTTTCTTTTTTCTGTGATGGGCTATTCCATCTACCGATACATTCACGTTGGCAAAGAGAAACACCCAGCAAATTTGGTGAGTTCTTGGTGGCAGGAATATATATTATATTATATTATATCATATATCATATCATATTATATTTATATTCATATTATAACACACTTGTGGGAGAATAGAAAAGAAGGCTATAGAACAGATACAGTTCCAGTTAAGGAAAGAGTGAATTTAAATAGTTGATAAATTATAAAACACTTTCTGGATTGGCTCACTAACACATTCGAAGATAAATATTCCATAGCTTTGAAAAGATTTTATTTAATGATCTTCTAGAAGTGCACGTGTAGTCAGGGACTAGAATTTCTAAGTAATACATGAAGGCTAAGATGAGAGCAGGCACTGGGGCCTCTGGGGGTACAGGAGGGTCCTGACCCCCTGCATGGGGGCTCAGCTCTCATGCCAGGGCTTGGTAAGGGGAGGTGAGTAGGAGCCAGGACACTTGGCGCAGTCAGAAGAAACAGCAGGGCAGCGGTGGGTGGAACTGCTTGACCCTGCTGCAGCGTGAGGCTCCGGTGAGAGCGGGCGGAAGGCCCAGGTGGGAGAGCCGTTCTAAGGAGTGGGCAGCCACAGCCCAAGCCTTGGTCTGAGAAATACCCGCCAGAGAGCCACTCTGCACTTCCGTGGGCCTTGTGTGGGTTTGAGCTTCCAGCCTCCTAGTGAGTGAGATTTCTCTGTATATTCCAAGCCTAAGTTTCATTTTCAAGAGTTGGTAAGAGGATGTCTTTAAAACTGTCTGGGGACACCATATTCTACCTAATCGCTGTTTTTAATGTCTCTCTGAAGTAAAGAGGTGAAAAACATTCTCTTTTCTCTTTTTAGATTTTGATTTATGGAAATGAATTTGACAAAAGATTCTTTGTGCCCGCTGAAAAAATCATGATTAACTTTATCACCTTCAATATTTTGGATGATTCTAAAATTTCTCATAAGGATATGGGTTTACTGGAAAAAAGCAGTGATGTAACGTTGGATAACCTTAAAGATACCGAGCCCAGTGGGGACCCGGAGCCAGCAGGGGAGGAAGAGGAGGTGGAACACTTAGGGTACGCTTCGCATTTGATGGAAATTTTCTGCGACTGTGAGGAAGACACCAAAGGTACTTCCCTCTCCCAGCAGGACTCACTCAGCAGCACAATACCCACCCATACAACAGGCACTGGGTATGAATATGACATAAGAACCGCTGACATTCGTGTGGGGCCTGAAGATCCAGAGCTCAGTCTGCAGGAGGAAGCTTCCACACAAGGAAGATTATTCGAGCAACAGGCAGCCTGGGCAAACTTGGGCCCACAGACGTTACTGCACTCAGGCACCCCTGAGCTCAGAGACTTACAACGTCAGGCGCAGGAGCACACAGACTCAGAAGAGGGGGCCGAGGAAGAGCCATCGGCGACACTGGTCGATTGGGACCCTCGGACCGGCAGGCTGTGTATACCTTCACTGTCTGGCTGTGACCAGGACGCCGAGGGCTGTGAGCATCCTGAGAAAGATTGTCACATGGAGGAGGAGGGCCTTTTAGCCCGACTCCATGAGGAGCAGGCCACAGACAAGCCACCAGAGGAAAATGAAACCTATCTCCTGCGATTTATGGAGGAATGGGGGTTGTATGTCCAAATGGAGAACTAACGCCAAAACTTCCCTTTGCCAGACCCCTCGTGTGACATGGCCTGTGAGCGCAAACAAATGAGGGACCTGACAATAAAGCACCTTCCTGGGATAAAAGAAGTTTGTTCAGATTTTTCAGTGTGAGTGAGAATCACTTCTTCTCTCTGTGCTCATAGCGCTTGCTTGGTCCTGCCGCCTGCAGGTGGTTGGTTCACGCTCGTGGGTCTCCCGCCATGGTGGTGGGCACCTAGAATGCAGTGGCTGGCCCGTTGCCTTATACAGAGGATGCAGTTAATAAATGTTTGCCAGGCCGGGTGCAGAATTTATTCAGGTGTTTTTGCTCTGGCCTCTTTGTTTATTATTTTCCAACAAGCACACTTGTACAATTATTTTCTGGGTATTTACCGTGTGTAAATACCAATTGTAAAAAATACCCAGCATTGTAAAAAATATTTCATAAAGATAATGGTTTTATAAATACTACCTTTTCAGAATTTGCTTATTGTGAGAATCAGGAGATACTTAAAACATACTCATGCCACTAGGTCGGTGGTAAGCTGGTCACAGGTAAAGACTTCAACTCACTATTCAATCATGCTAATCCACGTTTAGAGTGAATAAATCAGGCACAGATCTTCCTGATCTCACACACTTTCGCCTACTTTAAGAAGCCAAATTTAATATGAGTAGTTATGGAGTATAAACATAAATTGTTATTTTATAGTCAGAAAAATGTCCTCCCAAAAATTTAGCAAGGGCTTCTTGGTATCCCTCAAAATTAATCTGAAAGAAAATGCCACCCTTTTATAATAGAATATTATATTTACTTCTAGACATTTACTGCTAGACAGTGTTTTCAAAGAGATATTTAAATAGTCTGTAAACTAGAAAGTTGTTCAGCAGTTGAAGCACTGTGTTGCTATTATAACATTAAATATTCTATTGAATGGGCAGTGCCTCAAAGACTCTTTTGAATATGTATAAATGAATATCCTCTGTCCACATAATATTACAATCAACAAATAAGCACAGGACATACAAAAGAAATAAGTTAAATGAATATGTGAGGGAGAGTTTATTAAAATTTGACATAATTTACTGTGGGAACTAAGGCATACCATAAAACAATACCTTTCTAGTTGAATTCCAGCAACTGTTCCCATCTCCTTTACCACTTAAGAAAATTAAATTCTCCAGTCACACCAGATTAAAATGGGATAGAATCAATATTAAGTTGAATCATATAAAATTGTTGATAGTTGGCTGTTTTTAATCTGCAGAAACAGCAACTTCGTATGGTTTTGCCTTAATATATATCTGTTTTAATCAGGAACTCATAATCCACTGATGTTCTTTCAGGAAAACAGATACCCACATTATTTCCTTATTTATATTTTTGGCACAGACAGACAACCCTGGTAAGAGAGATGGATTCCGGGGTCATGATCTTTTGCAATTGTCCACAAATC